TCTTTTCGCCACACGTAGAAGATATGTCAAATTTATCTGAGTAGGATATGATCAATAAAAGCAACGTGGTACTTCAGATGACAAAACATTTTGTAAGGCCATCAACATTGTGTCAACGCATCATTTGTGTCTCGTATAGTGAGTGAAGACGGAAGACTTCTTACAGATTTATGAATAACTACCCAAAAATGAAGTTTAAAGAGACACACATAGCTATGATGATCCCAAGCATGTGTATGTTCTTTGATGATGGACAGTGTAGTTGCTTTAAGTGTAATCTTGATCGTGTAATACATATTCCATGTACCATTTTGTAGTGCATATTTGAATTTCCCTGTTTACAAATGTCATTTGAACTACGTTATAACTCCATAATGGTGTAATTTGTATATTCGCGCCACACCTTGCACGCGTTCGACCTTTAATATAAAACTTGGTGGCTAGTGTTGTGGCATATTCACTTAATGAACAGATTCAAATCAACTGGTTAAAGAATGACGTCCAAAGATAATGGTATTGCTGACGATTGCATTTGTTTGCACACTATGCACACCGAAGTTTCGATGGATGGGTCGTGATATGGGCTCATCTAGCTACTGTCGTGGTAAAACAGTAATCCATGTTATCAGTATACGAGGTGCTAGAGCACGTTGATGAAAAAGTGCTTGCATTAAGTTCCGTCGTTCGCAAACGTATAGGCTTATCTAAGCCTACAGGATTCTTTTCGACAACGCAACTATTTATCCAGTCGTGCGTTGTTCACGCTGCAGACGACCATTACTTGTCAATACTGACAATGGCTCCGTCGTTGTACAAATTGTCTTGACAACAGATAGAAAGTTTAGATTGGACCGATCGGGGTTACGCGATACTCGTATAAAAAACTGACAACATCATATAAGTGTAGCATTGATGAAGATTTGAGTGTCAAAATGAGTTCATAATTGGCCATTAGATGGTGTGTGTTAGCTTAACATAGTGACATAGTAAAAGTTCGCGTCAAGGCTGACAAGGAAGCCGATCATCACATGCGTCTGCTTACGCTACGAAAGACACGTAAAGGAGCCAAAAGATACTTGCATCAACGAAGGTCGAAATAAACGATGGACACCCCTTGGAGCTACAGACATATCGGTATGAACCAAAGTATGCTAAAATTGCAATCGGGCGTGTTTCATCAAAACCGATGACGGTTCGAATGCCATTGGGCTCATAACCTGATAGTAAGGGAGGACGTGGGGTGCTCAAGGTTAAAAAGGTTCTGCATTCGTCTCTCTCTTTTTTTCACTATTACTCCACTAGCTAGATGTGTTCTCTCCACCAACCATCCTCTGGCGTCATTTGGAGACTCTTCAAACACACTCGCGCTATCTCATATGCGTCGCTTAGTGCTACCAAAAAGACACGTCTTTTCATGTCACCAGAAACTGCTACACGGCTATATATGCATTTTACTACGCTCCTCCACGCGAGTGATAGGCTACGCATCTCACTCGCGCGCAGCGCCATGCCATCGTTGTTTATCGCGTGTTCCTGATTGCACTGCGCCACAGTCGTTGCTAGCGCGTCGCTATTTGATCCGTGCCATTACAGTCGCCCGATCTTCGTCTTCTCACAGCGCCAAGGTTGTCGCTTGTGCCTCGTCACTTCACCGCGCTGCTCTCGCAGATGAGATAGTCGTTCCGACAGGCTAATCAAGCCACGTAGCGTGACGATCTTGGCAGCGTCCATCGCCTGTGTCGTCAGGTCCGCGACCATGAGCACGGAGCGGACGTGCTGCACTCGAATGGTGCCGCGCTGTGCGTATCCCTTGACAAACTTGTGTCGGACGTCGATTTGCTTCGCCTTGCTTGTCGACTTCTCAACGTCTATTTGACTAATCGCGGCCTGGTTGTCAACATGCATAATCATGGAAACAGCCGGCGTCATTCCGATCTTCATAAGCAGCTGCCGCAGACCGATAAGTTCGCGCGCGACCTCGCCCGCGGCGACAAACTCGGCCTCCATCGTCGATTTAGACACGCCTCCCTGCTTCTCGGCGCACTAAGAGACTGCCATCCAGTCAAGGAGAACTACTCCGCCTGTGAATGACCTACTGTTGGCCTTGTCGGCCGAGAAGTCGGCGTCGCTGTACGCCTCCAACTTCACCGCATTCCGACTCTCTCGTGACGGCGCCATCGTGATCTAGATAGTCGCGGTTCCATCGTAATATCGATCGACGCGGTTTCCTTAAGGTACCGGGAAATCCGCTTCGCAAGCTTCCGGTCACGGAGGCGCGGTGCGTGCGTCTGTCGAGTCACCTTGTGGACAGAAAATGCCACTTCCGGACGCTTGCATCGTGCCACCCACAACAAAATTCTCACACGCGACTGGAACTTCTTAATCGTCGGGCCGCCGCTCGCGATCATCGTCTCGAGCAGACCAGCGTCGTCAGCAAGCACCTTATAGCACCTTTGCCGATCGGCGTCTTCATCGCGTTAGCATCGGTCATGCCATGCGCGTGCAGCAGCTCTCGGATCGCTTCTTCGCGGTAAATACGGTAGCAGCCGTCATCGCTGAGCTCGACATGCATGCCTAGAAACTTGTGAATGCGGCCCAAGTACTTGATTTGCAACTTCTCCAGACCATCGAAGAGATTTTCCACTGCCGCGGATCTTGTACCCGTTGCAAGCAGATCATTGGAATACACACCGACGACAACGAGGTCCTTGCCGTTGAGCTGAAAAAACAAGCACATGTCGGTGACATACCGAACAAATCCGGCGTCTTTTAGCCTCGAATTTAGCCTTTAGCTTCGAAGGCGTCCGGATTGCTTCAATTCATACAACCTTTTGTTAATATCGAGGACGACCTCTCCAGAGTTCGCAGCACCAATCTCTCGCAAGCCTTGCTTGTAAAGTTCATCCCACGCGACACTTGCAAGCATATTTCGAGGTGTTACTCCTTGTCCACTTTTTACGTACGCGCTTGAGTGGTCGCCATGTTTGACCGGCACACCCCAAAACTCCGCGAGCGCGAGCGCCACCTTGACGATGCTGATATCCATCACTGCTTCGAAGGGATAAAAATCCATCGTTTAGATTATTTACATGTTTTTTATTTACATTCACGTTTATTGAAAAGAGCTGCTAAAATGAAAAGAAAATTGGTGGAGGTTCTTTAACAGCATTTTCTAATTTATAATTCAAATTGGAGTAGCGATTAAGTGCACGTCGAGCGCTTGATCGTTGCCACACTCAACGGGCCGCGCTTTGTGATGATCCAGCTCGCTGTCGGCGTCCGTCTTGGTCTTGTAAAACCCCATTGTGTGCAGCGGGTTTGATCCGGTGCTTCTCTTCGTCACGCGTCACACTCCGTTTTCCTCGAGAGAGCTGATTTCTTCGCGCATCTCTACCTTCCACTCTGTGTGCTTCGATCTGCGTATTGCGTCTGCATAGTTGGTCAGGTCCTCATATACGAGTTTGACGATTATAAAATACCACCTTCGGCTCCTCTAGCTGCGCATCTCTTCCCGCGCGCTTGGAGGCACTTCATGTTCCGTGCGAATGCCGCTGCCACTTTTCTTCTGTGCCTATGGCGGTACGCTTGTAGTGCCTCTCTCAGCGTTCTCCGACGTCGCTTCTGCTGCTTGGTGCACTCGCAGTGTCTCTGAGCGTGACAGGATCGCTGATCCCACTCAATTATCTCTCGTTATGATCTGCCGACAGCGTCGCGATATTCTTCATGTGCTGCGTTGTGATGACGATGTTGCTCCTTGGAAGGTACACTCTGTACCCCTTCGTATCTTCATTGCCTTCAATGATCTGCCCTTCCTCAGACCGCGGCGTCAAATAATTCTTGCCCTGTTCCTACCGTACGTCACACGTCGAGACGAATACGACGATGTTGCGTCAGAAATTCTTAGGGCGATACTCGTCGCTCTTTCGCGCTCGTAGGGGTGCAGATCAGGATGTAAGTCGCATATTCGACAGGTTCGCCCCTGAAGAAGAGCGGCATGTTACACGCGAAGAGTATTGCCCTCGCCATGTTAAGCACAGTTTTGTGCATGCGTTCCGCCTTGCCGTTGCTTTCTTGATTGCGCGCTCCGCTCATTTGGCTCGCGACTCCGATCGTTTTGCAGAAGAGGTCGACATTCTGATACTCTCGTCCACCGTCGGTGCGCAAAACAAAGACATTTCATCCGAAGCGTCGTTCGAAACGCACCAGAAAATGCTCGATTTTTTCGGCTGCTTGGTCCTTGCTCTTGGCCGAAAACGCGCGAAAGTAGTTGCTAATATATTCGACAACTCTCACCAAGTAGCGATTGTCAAGGCGATCCTTCGGCATCAGAGGCCCCTACAGGTCGAATCAAATGTCTCTGCCAAGGTGCTCGATTGGTGAGCTCGCGTCGCTGTCCTGCTATCTCTGCGCATTCTTCGTTTCTTTGCTCTGCATGCACGTGACGCATGTGAGGCGACGACGATCAGTGAGATCGATGCCGGACTTCAGGTGGATCGTGATGGGCTCAATCGTGTCGTAAGATATGTGCCTGAAGCGTTTGTGGAAGTAAATCAGCGATTCCACTTGCACCTCTCTCGCCGTGTTTATTGCAGCGTCGTCACTCGCGAGCACCGCCATGATCACATCGGATGCTCCCATGGCGCGTCGCGCTGTCGTTGTGACGGCAAAGAGCACGTGGTTCTTCGTTTTCAAGTCGAAAGCAACAGTTTCGTCGCTTCTCCAGAAAAGCGATCGCGCGCCGCCGATGTACGAGAGCTCGAAGCCCTTCTTCTCCAGCTTTCCGAACGACATAATGTTGCAGGCAAGCTGCGGAGTCAAGAAGACGTCGGAGAGCGTCACGACTCCCTATGCACCATCGACTATCACGTTAATCCGCACGCTCCCAACCTGAGTGAGCTCGAGAGCGTCGCCGTCCGCCACCGCGACTTGGGCTACAGGGCTTGCTGTCGCGCACCAGCGATGAACCGTGAACCAGGTGCCGACTTGCCGACTTGCCGACTCTATTCGCCATCCAGGATCCAGACATTCTCATAGATTCTCATCGTTTTTGACAGCGTTGCACGACTCGTTCCGTTTGTTCTTACGACCCGCTCGTGTTCCACTCGCTCGCGGCCTGCACTCTGTAAGATCCAGAAACATACCCTTTCCTTGCTGTATTCGTCCTTTAAACGCGCAGCGTCGCCACCGCCGGTGCTATTACTAAAGCTCGATCGGCAATTTGCTTGAATGTGCCCAACTTTGACGCATTTGCGCGTTTCCTTCCGCTGTGATGGAGCATCGACGTGCTCCGCAACGACCTCTTTACCGATCGACGTGGCGATCGTCTCGATGAGCTGCGCGAAGTGCGCAAGTTCCTTAGCGTGCCGAAGGTGCTCGATACGGCTCGGGTCGCACTTGGCTTTGATAACGATCTCGATATATGCAGATGCGTGGTTCACAATTTCATTGACAACTAGCGTGTCTGCGCTGTCTCTAGCGCCGCCGATCGCCGCCACGTATAAGAAATGATCCGGCCACGTCCTCTTTGATTCCTTGCGCTGCGCGGACAGCGTCATTGCTTGTGCGGTCGTGATTGACGTATTGAACGTCACCAGCATCCGCCCCCATCACGTATTCGAGTGTCGGCTGCTCAAGCCACCACGTGTCGACTTGATTATTATGGAAGCGCTTGGCCTTCTCGCTTAGGTAGTGGCCTAAGAGGTCGACTTTAATGTCCTCGGTCCACAGCATTCCGTACGCCGCTTGCGCCATGTTGAAGTGGTGGAGAAACGTGCGACCCTAGTCTTAAAACCCCAAACCGAGGATACATTAGAACTCCGTCCTATCGAACCTGCGCTCTGTCAGTTTCCGCTGCCGCGCCTCCGGCATCCCGATTTGCATCTGCTGATGCCCGTACCTCGGTGACTGCGCTGCGGCCTGAGCCGCGCCATACGCACCGGCGGCAACTAACTCGGCTGTCGCTCGCAACTGCACCGGCCTAGGGCTGGCGCACACGCGCGCACCTATTGCGGCTGTGGTGGAAGTGCCGTTAAATGCGGCCCAAGAATTTGGAATGGCGAGTACTCTTGACTTAGCGTCGGAGCGCGCACGAGCGGCGCCCTGTCTGACGGCTTCCGCTCGAAATTCTTAATCGTATCGATGCGCATCGTAGCTGCACCACGGTTTGCGCCGAGCGCCGACGCAAACAAACCGCTCTAGATGGCACCACGCATTCGCTCGCCTTCTTCGAGCTTGATCTGGCTGGTTTACATGCGGTCCATACGCGACAAATGCGCGTCGAGCACTGCGAGAATCTTGCTCTCCTTCGCCGACCCCCTTTCAAAGGCTGGCGTGTCCTCAACGATAGCAGCAGCACGCAGTGAGCACGCTGGGGATGCTATGCGTCCCGTCGAGGCCCTCGCTTGGCCTGCTGAACCCCGTAATGCCTTGGCGTCTTGTAGTGTATCCATTGGGTTCATAACCTGTTAGTAAGGGGGAAAGTGAGGTTCTCAAGGTGAAAAAGATTCTTTATTCGTCTCTGTCTTCTGCATCTTTTGATGCACTAGCTAGCCGTGTTCTCTCTACACCAAACATTCTCTAGCGTCGTTTGGAGACTCTTCAAACACACTCTCGCTATCTCCTATGCGTCGCTTAGTGCTACCAAAAAGACACGTCTTTTCATGTCACCAGAAACTGCTACAGGGATAGGCATGCATTTCCTTACACCTACACAGTTGACATTGAGATTCACTCGCGCCAGGACGTCGCGTGCACAATCGTGCGAAAATCTCGTAGGTAAAGCAGACAAGCTCACTAGGCAAAAGGAAGTGATACAAAGTCTTCACTACCTGGTCCGTTGACCATATTGTGATTCATCTAGAGGTACTAGTTCGATGCTTATGATTGGATTCGTACGGGAACCAATTTTCTGATCGGCGAGTCGTTCATATCGCCGCGTAGTCGACGATATCAACTTAAACATCCATACCAGACCCATTTATGCGCCCTAAAGAGACCTAAATGTCTGCATCATCAACGGCCTTCGTTGCTACTGACAGTTATGCGGGTAATTGTTCAGATAATGAAACTACGTGTGCGCACGAGTTGAGCGCAGGCAGCCAGATCAGCCCTATCATGCGACGCCTGCAATCCGATTAGTGGAACAGTTAGAGGCGGCAAGGAACGACTCGAAGCCAACATTTCTCTTGTATAGTAGGGTGCTGTGAGTGCCCCATTGTAACGGGGCAGCCCGTTACATGGAATTGTCACTTTAAGAAAAGTGACAATAAAGAATATGAAGCTGAATATTCTTTGAACAATATCACCGAAGCGGTGATATTGAAGGGTGACCAAAGAGTCTGTTCATTGGTTGATATCTTGATGATATCAACCCAACAATCGCCGCAAGACGCGCGCAATGAGTGATGACGAGACGTCACCATACATTCAGTTATATTAGCATAATTAAGTTAAGTCAAACAAAGAGACAGTAGTTAAAAGACTTAATTATATTAATATAACAGTTCTGCTTTTACCCTACCTACGCTTCCTCGTTCGCCTTGTGTACGTCTGTCGGGGCACCCGAAACCCTTGCGTTAAGTTCACGCAAGGGTGTGCCCCGTTACACCTGGTAGCACTTTGTAGCCCTTCCAAGGACCACAATATCCAACATGAACATGTTAGATGATGAAGAGACCTTTCACGCCACGCGTGTAGGGTTTACCCATTTGAGTGACATCGAATGGGGTGCGGTAGAACGAATGAGCTCTACCGTAGGCGGGTTCACCATTAGCGCCATGTTGGAGTCTCTAGACAGAGACTAACAACATGCCGCTATAGCTAAGTTCATCCAAAATGAACTTGTCGCCGAAAGGGAGAAAGTAGCCTTGCTTCACCATCAAGGCTCTCAACAGGCCGAGTAGTTGAGAGAACTCGGTGCTCAACAGACAGAGCTACTACGACAGCAGCAATTCCATGCTGCTGTGGGCGGGACGGCGCATGCGCGTCGTCCCGAGGTCATGAAAGTTGACATCTCCAAGTACAGTGGAGTCGAGGACGACTCCCTGTTACTATGGTTTGTCAAACTCGACAGATCCTTAAGGGCTCGTCGCGTCGAAGATGAGCAAATGAAACTCACATTTGCTCAGACCCACTTGGCAGGGCGTGCCAAAACTTGGCCCCTGGAATTCGAGAGTAGCGACCCACATGTGTTTAGGTCGCCAGATGACTTCAAGTCCCGGCTCAGACAAACGTTTGAGCCGCTAGGAGCTGAGTTCAGGGCTCGTTCTGAGCTCCTGAAACTCAAGCAGGGTAAGCGTGATGTGCACGCTTACGCACAACATATACGACTACTAGCGAGTAGTATAACTGCCAACCCAGTTCATGAACACACGTTGATTACGGTGTTCATGCAAGGGCTCGCAGAAGGGCCCGTCAGGAGCCACCTGTTCCGCCTTGAGCTGAATACGCTTGAAGAAGCGATATCAGCCGCGTAACAGGAAGACTTTAGCATGAGACAGGCTCATGCTAGCTCAAACTCTTATCGTCCACCAAGACGACAAGAGATCGGAGGTCCAGAACCAATGGACCTCTGCTATGTTGAGAGCGAGAGACCTCGCTCTTCAAACAACAAGCGATTGCAGAGGTGCAATCGCTGTCAGGAGTTAGGGCACTACACATGCGAGTGTAGTGCTCCACGCCCAGTACCAAACAGTACTGAGCGAAATGGACGACCATTCGCCAAATAGAGCAATGGGCGTGGATCCAGCGCTGTTGCGAAGCCGCAACAGCGAGACGGACCATCAAAAAATGGTCGGGGTCAGTAGGGGCGGAGCTCCCTACTGATCCAGCAACCTCAAGAGAATTTGCAAATCTCTTGACGAAAGTTGCTCTAGATACACAATCATTGTGTGTCTCTGCACCTGGTGATGACGTTTCGCTCATCACCTTGAAGTCTGGAAGCGACAAATGATTTGTCGCTCCGTGCCCTAGTAGACTGTGGGGCGTCGAACAACTTTGTTCGTCGCCAGTCACTAGAGGGTCGTAGGCTCAAGTTCGTTGAGCGCGACATTCCCCTCACAAGGATGACGGTGCGCCTTGCAACAGGCGCATCGATTACCGTTAAGAAACGTGTAGTCGGAATCCACTACACGTTGGAGGGCGAACAGTCAATGATGACTTCATCGAATTGGATCTGGATGACAAATTTGATGCCATCCTGGGATTACCTTGGCTCAGAAGGTAAGAGCCAAGACTGAGCTGGCAGCATCGATCCGTGAAGATGCCTGCCACTTGTTCATCAGATGGCCATCTGATGAACATCTTGGAGCGTCCACAAGCGTGTGGATGTTCTGCGAGTGAGTGCGGTGGCCTCACTTGCGGTACGATCGTTAGCACGACTGCACAAGATCACAGTGTAGTTGATCACTACACTGTGGAGCAAGCTCCCGGCGGCTGTATAGAAGTACAGGTTGCGCCGAAGGTCCACCACTCGAATAAGTCGAGTGGACAGGGAAGTGGATGCACGCCTAGCGGGCGACATCCTAGCAAGAGTAAACAGGTTGCCCAAAAGCGGCAACATGGATTTCCTAGGTCGACTGGAGTGTCGGCAGTAGAGGATCGGTACCTAACTGTGGTTGCACAGCCACAGTCAGAAGACGTCGAGGGAATAATTCCTTACGTACTTGAGGAAGGAATTCCTCAAGTCACTTGCTAAAGGATTAGGCCTTCAGCAATTTGTTAAAAGAAGTTCCCAGGAAGTAACCGAGACGTTGAACGTCTTGGTTAATGACGGATCAAGCGTAGGCGCTTATACGCTTGATCTGATTGTGCCTCCGAAGTTGACTTCGGAGATAACTCAGTTTCCAACGCTTGAACCAAAACGTTTCTTTCGTGATCTGCGTAGTGGCAAAGTCAAGCAGATCTGCATACTCGTCACAGAGGATGAGTATGTGGCCGATATTCGGTCGGCAACAGTATTTGCTGAGAACGAACGGGTTCTCAGCAGCTCATCGATGGACGAAAGTGTCCTCGATGAGAAGACTCGGATTGAGCGATACACGTCTCAATCCTGGGAGTCGCTTCAGGCAAATCCTCTGTACAAGGATTTGATCGAATTCAGGGATGTGTTCCCTGAATCCGTACCTTGCGAGTTGCCTAAGGACAAAGGCACTCGACACGAGATCGAGCTCAAACCGGGCTCGAAGTACTGTGTCATGAAGCAGTGGCCACTGCCTCGTGAACAAGTACTAGCGATCGACAAGTTCTTTGCCGATCGCTTAGCAGCGGGCCATGTGAGGGAATCAACAATCACCTCACAGCTCTCCGACCTTCTGTGAGCGAAAGGCCACAGGAGGGTGGCGGATAGTGCACGCATTCAACAAATTGAATGCTGCAACGGTACCGGCTCAGACGCCGATACCGAGGAAGGACGTAATCATAGATGGTATGTCAAAGAGTACCATCTTTTTTTCCATGGATCTGATGGATGGGTTCTATCAGATCTTCATGCGTGAACGGGACATCCCGTTCACGGCAGTGAGTATCCCCAGCGGGATGCTGTGGGAGTGTCTAGTTATGCCACAGGGGCTGAGCAATGCCCCTGCAACATTCAACAGATGTGTCACAAATCTGTTGAGACCGGTGCGAGACTTCGCACCGAGTTACTTCGACGATGTGTTCGTCCATAGCCGGGCTATGGACGGAAAGACGGACGTTGAAGTTCACAGAACTCACGTTCGTCAAATTCTTCAACTTATGCGCAAGCATAAGTTGTACGCAAATCTAAAGGGGTGTTTATTCGCGGCTAGCGAAATACCACTTCTTGGGTGCATCGTGGGTAAACTTGGCGTACGCCCTGATTCCGAGAAGACCAAGGCGATCACCGACTGGCCAGTGCCAGTCGATGTCAAGGGACTAAGGAAGTTCCTTGGCCTAGCGGCGTACTTGCACAAGTACTCGCGCAACTACGCCGAGATGACTGTTCATTTTTCTTGCTTGCTCAAGAAAAATGTCAAGTGGTCATGGAACGCTGAGTGCCAGCGTTCCTTTGAGGTTATCAAGCAAAGCTTGATGCAATCGCCGATATTGGCGATTGCAGATTAGGACAGACCATTTCATGTGGTCTGTGACGCCAGCGATTTTGCAATCGGCTGTGCGTTAATGCAGTTCGATGCAGATGGCGCGGAGCGCGTCATCTGTTATCAGTCGCGTCAGCTGCAAGCAGCTGAGCGTAATTAACCAGTGCATGACAAGGAACTCCTTGCCATGAAGTACGCACTGGATAAGTTTCGCGTCTATCTCCTGGGAGATAGACCGTTTGTTGTCTATACGGACCATGCGTCATTACGCACGGCCGTAAATAGCCCACACCTCTCGCAAAGAATGGCGAGGTGGATGTCTTTCTTCGCGGAGTATAACTTCTCCGTGGAGTATAAACCAGGACGACTCAATGTCGTCGCTGATGCGCTTTCGCGCCGGC